TTGTTGATGAGTTGATTAATGTTATCTATGTATAATATTTATGAATTATGGTATTTAATTTAGTTTGACCAGCTACGTTGAATATTCATAGTTTTAATTGCTAGAGGACTTTAATCTGTAATTGTTATTGTTCTCGTTTCATTAGTAGTAAACTAGAGGTTGTGCATCTCTAAGGAAACGTGAACATAAGTTAAATGAACCGAGCTTTCGCGTCCGTTGCTTAGACTAATCTATTTTCTTAGGAACTAATGCTACTAGTGAATTAAATCTAGACAGTTTATTCTAGGTTTGTCCACTATTAGGTGTAGTCGAAGAGCTTATCAGTAAGAGAAAATTCGATTAATAGAGCTTGTTGTTAGATAGAGTTGGTAATTCATTAGCAATTTAAAAAAAGAGTTGACATTAATTTAACGGTATATTTAGATTTAATGATAATTAAACCGGAAACTGGACTTCTCTCGTTTTATTTGATTTTTATTTTATTGAGTTTTATAAAATCTATTCCCCTCTTTTACTGCTTTCTTAGTTTAGTTCAATTAATACAAAATGTCACAATTTTATTCCTACTCCTCGTGGAATCGACCCTTACTCGCCGCTACTACTAGTTAGTAGAGGTTTGTTGAGGAAACTTTATAATTTAAATTTTTCGTGTCGCGACGCGCGGTCAAATTTTGGTCCGTTGACGGGGAGTGATGCAATTGAGTTGTGATTTTTTTTTTTGGTGTTAATTGAAGTAGGTAATTAGATTAATATTTAATTTTTTTTATTCTATTTTTCTTTGACTCTTTCAATCCCCTTTTTTTTTGTTGCTTTGCAGGTGGTATTTGTTATAAATGGATGCGTACTGGAGCCCGGATTGTGTTTATGCTTAAGATTCATATTATAGAATGAAAGAAGAGACCCACATCGTAAGGCTAGAATGTCGGCTATGATCCAAGAAACTATTGAGAGTGTTCGTCAAGCGTTAAGGAGACCATGTCATCTATGTCATACCACAAGACACGTCACTGATGATTGTACCTTTTATGTTCGAGAGGTATGGTGCACGTAGAGCTATCGGGAGAGATTGGTATCGACAAGATGATTGGGCGTACTCGAATTTACTATTATGGTTGGGGTGATTGTGGAAATTCATTTTATAAAAATCCACCAATATTTTCGATCATATGAGCCTACTTATGAGCACGATGACTCCAAATTCCAATATGGAGGCTACATTCAAAACCTTCGCCTAAAGAAGAGGCTAGTCCATCATTGGTGAAGTTATTTGAGGAGTGTCAAAATTATTTGATGGCTAGTACTAAAACGATTGATAATGTTTTGAGCGAATTGGATGCCTGAGCCAAGAGTCGATTATCATCTCAACCCGAACCGAGCCAAAGTGATGTCGGAGACCTTGGGCTGAGCAGTGAGATAGAATCCGAGGTGCTGGAAAATCATGACGAATAGAATGAAGAAGAAGGCGAGACAGAGCAGACGGAGCAAATTTTCGCTGCTATCGACCCCCTCAATAAAAGCCTGGTAGCATTTTCTACTGCTATCGGGGACCCCGATAACAGTCCACTCGAAAGTGAAAATGATGTAAAAGCTCCATCAATTGCCCCGACCATGACCCTCTTCTATCCGAGGTCGAGAGACCAATCACCGAGCATGCTGAAAATCAAGAGTCTTACATCCTTGACGTGTTTGATATTTTTCCTCTTATACATGATCCCGAGCTTATCTTTTGCCATGAAGATCTACCACCGAGACGGAAAGATCCTGTCAAGCACCCGACATTGGACGAGGGGATCCATGAAAAGCATGGTGCTGCAAAGTTCGTGCCTCCTTTGAGGCCGCCTCCAAAACTGCCATGGTCCACTTAATGAGAGTGGAGCAATGAGTCGAGCCAACGACAATAAAAAATGCGCTTGTTGGGAGACAACCCAATGGTGTGCGACGATCGTGACTTTCTTTATATGATAAGATGAACTCTTTCTTTTTAACTCTTTTAATGCTCTCTTATTTGTGCACACTCTAAGTTTGGGGAGGCCCATTACTGTGAGAGATATTTGTGATTGAATTGTTGAGTTGTGTTCTATCTTGATTTGTTGGAATATATGTTACTTGTATGTGGAATTTGCGATGATGATAGGAGTGTATTATTGGTTATTATGTGCTAGTTTAAATGACTTTAGTTGATTATAATCGGTTAAATATCTTTAGGTGTTTTTGTTTTGGGATCAAGAGCATGATAGTTGATATTTTTGTAATCTATTTATGGTGAGTTGGTTTTGACTCGATTTGTGTTGTTGAGATGTGCTTGTGATTATCTTGATCAAGGTTGATTATGTTTGCTGACTTGATGTTGAAAGTCGGTGTTTGATGTCTCGTAGTCGAAAATAATGGAATAGTGAGAGAAGAAAAAAAATATTAAAAAAATAAAAAGAAGAAAAAATGGATAAGGAGACGTTTGAATTTCAGCTAGAAGCGGAAAAAAATAGACTAGTTAGCAAAGAGAGGGATGCCATGAGTAGCATTGATCGATACATTCGTTAGAGAGATTGACGAAATATGGTGATCACTTGAATTGACACCTGATTGAGTTCTCAAAATGATTTCATCTTGAGTACGGATTAATTAATTCGAGTTGTTTGAGCTATGTATTTATGTGAGAATTTGTGAGGTCCTGAGCAAATATTCCACGTACTTGTTTATATCCATCTATGTGCTTTTAGTTCTATGTACTTATTTTGTTTTCGCGTGCAACATGACGGGAACAACCATTCTGCTCTTCGAATCCTCGCCACCGATTTTTGCTACAACACATTTGAGAAGTTCACCATCAAATCAAAATAGTCACATTAATTACGTCAATGATGCCACGCCCACGGTCTCCATTATGTATCATGCTTCCAACTCTCTTATACGTCTACAATAAAGCAATAAAGAGAACGCTCACACATAATGACATACAAATTCTTCAGTACTTGAAGTTGCTCTCATTATTTAGTTGAAGGATGTTGGATCCAAGGGTAGTGTTTTTTTTAATAAATGATGTATTACTCATATATAAATGGATACTATTTCCATTCAAAAGTGATACTATTTGTTTAGAGCTTAAATGAATAAGTGGCATTCAAAATAATAATTACAATAATATTTAATCTATATATATATATATATATATATATATAAAGGTCTGATTATTTTTAAAATAGTAACTATTTTCTACCAAAAAACTTTTTTACTATATTAGGATATAATTTATTCAAATAAATAAATACTAGCATGATATTTTCGGAAGATCCAGATATGCTTTAGGAAATATTATTCATATTGTCCAATTTATTTTTTGTTGACATAAATAACTTTGAGATATTGTTTAATTGATTTGTTGACATAAAAAACTTTGGAGATCTTCCTTAATTGATTCCTTACCATAACAATTAGATTTTTTTTTTATTGTTTCTGACAAAAATTATAGTAATTTTTTTTAAGTTGCTACAAGTGCGAACACCTAATTAATCCTTGCAATAAATGTTTGACTGAAATTTTCTTTTTGTCACTTTCAGTAACTATCCAATTTAGCACAGTATGTATGATTTAAGTGAGTTGATTTTATTTAAGGAAATTGATTGATTTAAACAATATTTTATCCTCTTTCCAATCAACATTATTTATAAAATTTATGATATTATTGTAAAGTTTATGATATAATATATTACTTATCACCATACAATATATATTGTCCAATTATTTTTATCATACTTACACTACTGATTAGAGTGTCTCTTTATTGGGCTATATATGAACTTATATTTTTTTGTAAAGTTTTTCTAACACAATTCATGTTTTCAATGTAGCGGACAATGAAGTGTCAGCTTACACGGACGAATCATTTGAAAAAAAAAAAGCATAATCAACACAAATTTTATCAAAAGAAAACTATTGAGCAATGGACAGAGACCAAATAGCTCAAGCTCAAAGAAATAATTCAATAAAAAAGTGCAGCGCGCATAGTAAAAAAATCAACAACTCAAAGTTCATTTCAAGGTAACTCAAATCATTAATTATATGATAGTAATATATAAGCATAACCACGTAATATATAAATAACCTAATGGATTAATACTCACTAATGTATTTTTTTACCTTATCAATGAGGATGGTCGTATTTGAATCTTCTTCAAATCTCGTTGTGAATATTTGCGTGTTTCTCGAATGTATTCATACAATATCGAAAGAAGTATATGACAGTTTAATAATGTAACAAAAGTATGAACAATTATGAATATATTTAAATAGAATAATTCTTAGAAAAAAATGACATTATACGAAAAATAGAAAGATAAGAATAAAAAGGAATATTACTTCTATAAATACTATAAATAATAGTGACATTATACGACAATAAATTTTTAAATAAAATAATATTTAAGTATTTTGATGAACCAAAATATATAAAATTATTATTTTTTCTATATTAGAAAATAAATATATATGTTAAAATGTTATTTATATGAATATAACCGGGTCAACGGGCTAATATATTGTTAAAATAAAATTTTATAAAAATATTTCAATGTACGATACCCCGGTGCATAGCACGGGCTCCGTACTAATTTTAAGTAAGAGGGAAATGGTCATTATGAAATTTGTTTCTACAGACTAAAAAAAGAGTAAAAAAGGGCCCAAAATCATCCCATTAAAAATCATGTATCATTAGGGTACCAAAATAAATACTTTCTCTATTAGTATTTTTTACGAGTAATAAAAAATTGTTTCTGGTACCAAGTCATAAAATTTGACAAGGACCAATGTATTGTATGATAATTGAAGGTACTCCATGTTAAATCATCATAAGTTGATAATTTCAAAATTAAATATAATTTATTGATATTTCACTAGCACTGTGGTCGCAACAATTGCTAGTTATATTTGAACAATGGCTATCAAAATTGAAATAGTAAATAATAAGGTACCAAAGTTATTTTTTTTCTCTATTCAAAAATGTATGTTTTCCGGCCAAAATCTCTAACGATTCCACCTCATAGCTGCACGACGCCACGTCCTGCTCCAGTCTGCAGATATGTTCGCCATCAATCTCTGCGGTAAAGTAAATCCACCGTCTATAAGTAAATTTTATTGTTATAAAAAATAAAATAGTAGACCGGTCACAGATGATTTTAGGATAAAATTCTCAACCAAAAAATATATTGAAAAAAGATAATTTTCCGGTTTTAATAAATTTTGCCTTGAATCCCCGCCCAAAAATCCCAAACCCCACAAATCTCCTCTCTTTCCTTAATTCTACACTTTAGAAAGGTCCAAAAAGGATACACCGATGGCGGAAGCGGGATCCGACCTCCAGCTCACCACCGCCGCCGCTCCCCCCGTGACCGCCGCCCCAAGCGGCGGCCAATCCGGCCGATTCCTCCGGTTCAGCAGGCCGAAGTTTCGTGTGACGTCGGAGTACGACAGCGACAGCTCCGTTTTCCTGCACAAGGCGTCTTGTAAATTGTTGGACAATTTGGCCAAGTTGAAGGTGTCTTTCCAGAACAACAGCAAAGGGGAAGTATCGGAACCCCAAGTCTCCTTCACTTCCAAGTACTTTTCGCTGTTGTACGATGTCGAGGAGAGCGATGCACTGGTCAAGGCGCAGATTGAAATTGCGCCTGGATTCGAGCTTAAAGCTACCCGTCAAGTCAAGGTCTTGTACATAGTGACTCTTTGTTCATGTGAAATTCTGTATTTTTTCATTTCCTTACTTGGTTCAGTTGTTCTAGTGTTGACTTAAGTTTGAGATAATTAGAGATTCTGGGTTTGATGAAATGTGTTTTTCGATGTTTAATGCAGGAGACAGTGTATAAATAGATTTTTTCTTTATTTAGATTTTTTTTTCGGTAGCAATCTCTTTCTTGACTCTTGAGTAGATGAATGGGATTTGAGAGTTCTTGTGGATGACCGGATAACGCAAGCATTGCGCATTCAAGGTCACTAGGAGAATTAAGATTAATTGACATCGTGGTGTGTTTACTAGTATCGTCTTTTTCTTACACATTACTCAGCAAACAAGAAACAGTATATGTTCTCATAAGAAATGAAGAAAAGTCCCCTAACACAAACTCATGGACTTGACCACGATCTGCTTGTGCAAAAAGATTTCTTTAACCACTTGTGCTAAAGCTGATTCCCATCCAGTTATTGTCTTTCAGCAGCACAACATGGAGTAAGTGTTGCTGGAACCATCTAGATGAATTAAGTTAGAACTAGGTTGTCTACGGAGTTGGATGTAAATATGAATCCTTATCATAGAATACTGGGATGAAGCGTTGGCTTCTTGTGGGCTGTATTTTGAACAGCTTAGAAAGTTTTAATGATCTTAGCGTCAGCTAAAGAAATGAAATTTATTAAAGTTTGAGTTGAATAAATACCATGTTTTTTTTGGTGTGTCAGTGTGCCTATAATTATTTCTTTTTATGATAAGGGGCTTTGTATTTCTAACTTCTAAGTACCCAGCATTTGTTAAATATTGAATAGTGCCTAGTTCCTATCCATGCGAATGTTTCTGGAACCCTTAATATTCGTTAGGAACCCTTAATATTTGTTAGGATACTTGCAGTTGATGCACAAACGACTTCAAACTTTGACTACCAAATCACACTCACCATTTATATCCACACCTTTCCTCATTTGGTTCCTACAATCGGCAATTTAGTGAAGTTTTGTTGAACTAGATTGATGGATATACTAAACTAAAACCATTTGGCATATAAAGTACATGGAAATGCATTATTCGTTTGTTATACATTCTAGTTCGTTCATATTTTATGGTGGTTACATTATCCATGCTTTGCTTACACTTGTTTTTATTACTTTAGGCTCAACATGGAGAGATTGCAATGGTTGCAGATCTTGCAGGATCAGCTTACAAACTTGAATTGTCATCTGCCGTTCCATCTGTAGGCATGGTCAGCAATTTTTGGCATTTTTTAAAATTGCAATTGAGCTTATTGCTGGAAAGTTTGTGTTGTGAACCTGCAGTAAAATGAAATGCATGCATAATTCCCAAACAGGGAAGTTAAAGTTCGTTGAGAATTGAGTACTTTTTGCCTCAATGACTTTTGACAATATATATATTTATATATATAATTTTTTTTTTCTTTCTGCGGCTGCAGCCAAGAGCAACTTTTAAGTTTCCTCATGGTGAAGTTTCATTAGAGGAGAAAGAGGAGGAAGAAGAGGAACCGAACAAAACTTTGTCAGTGAGTGGTATCGTTAAAAGTCATATTCTCAATGGAGTCTGCACTGCGCGATACAATGAGGAAAATCTGGAATTAAGATATGCATTTAAGGTAACTTCTTCTGGAAACTCTTTCAGGTAGTGCTCATGTTTTTTTGTTTAATGATTCTTGTAGTGAAAGTGAACCAGCATTTAATAAAGTTATTTATTGTCTCCTTATTATACTTGTCCGGATTTTGTTTTAATGAGAAAAGTTTTAGTACTTTTCAACTTTTAAGTAGTCAGTTCAAGTGGTGGAGGTCGTCTTTCATCCTCTTGAAATTATTTCATATCCTTCCATCCTCTAATCTCTGTGATGAAAGGATGGAAGGCTATCATTATATCCCTTCGACATTTGATGATCCAATTCCCACCTAAGAAGATTAATAGCCTGATAAATTTTCTGCTGAAATTTCAACTGTAGGATGAGCAACTGACTTTCGTCCCGAGCATTTCTCTGCCTTCGAACGCGGTTTCCTGTGCATTTAAGAGGCGTTTCAGTCCTTCAGATAAGATGAGGTGCTCTCTCTCTCTCTCTCACACACACACACACACACACACTCACTCACTCTCTCTCTCTCTCTCTCTCTCTCTCTCTCTGAAGTATGAATTACTTAAGCTCTATAGGTTCCAAGACGTGTAACCAAAAATCATAAAAATGAGACATTGAAATCATGTTAAAGACTTAGGACACACATATGGAGAAAATGGAGTATATGTGAATATGTTATTTGGTAAAAAAGTAAGTAAGATTTGATTTGTCTAGGGGCTTATTTCCAGCTTACAACTCACTATCCATATGTACCTTGGAATGTTAATTAATATAACATAAGCAATTTTAGTTTAAGTGTGCAGATTTATATACATGGTGGGTTTGAGTTTAAAAAGTACAATTTTCCCACATCTTCCTTCATGACTATTTACTAACTAAAACAGTAACCATCTTCAGTCCTCATGTACTTGCCATTGTGCTTGTTTCTGTTAAATATTTTGGTAACATTATCATTAACAGACAATTGTAGGAGACATGCTATTTGTTAGTCCATTGTGGCCCACAGTTCCGTTAATGCAGTAATTATGATTTATTTTGGTTGTTTTGATTTGTGGTCAGCTATTGGTACCATTTTGACTCAAACAACTGGAGTACCGTCTACAAACACACAGTTGGAAAAGACTACAAGTTTAAAGCTGGCTATGATTCTGATGTGCGACTTGGTTGGGCATCTCTTTGGGTAAGTTGTGATATATTTCTCTTGGCATCATTGGTTACTAAATAATGATGTTGACAATCTTTTCCAATTTTGATTTCTTAGTTTTCCGTCATGTGTTTCACTCTGTTATAATATATGAGGCGTGGGGTTCAGAAAATGGGTTGAACAGTTCTTATCCGAACCTCGATTCTTGAAGCTTGAACTTCTTTCACCTGTTAATGAGCTAACACCTTTCCAGAGAATCGAAAGGGGGCAAATTTTGATTTCTATTTTATTTCTACCTTCCCCTTATAACTGTCCATAAATGTGAATAGCATAAACCAACATTTGAAAATATTAAGGAATGGAAAGAAAAAAGGTGCAGTGGAATTTAATCTAACTTACTGAGGCTGCATTCAGATTCCTGGATTTGGGTTTGAAGGGAAGATTTATGGAAGGAGTTTCAGATGGCATAATCACAAACGCACTAAAATCCGCCTTAATAACTAAAATAATAGTTCAATACAAGAGCTAAGGATTTAAAATATGTTGAATTGGGAGATTATTCATTAAAGCAATGGATTTGAATTTCCTAGAGTAAGATAGTACCCAGTTGCAAGATAAACATTATGCCGAAATCTTGTGTCCAAAATTTTAGAGATGTAACTGCCTCATCAATTGCAAGCACACTTAAACTCTTCTAGCATGACTGATATTATATTTGTTTACAAACAGATCGAGTGCGTCTCTGTTACCTAATTGTTATCTCTATTCCTTTTTTATCTTTCCCTCGTTTGTTCTTTTCTCACTCTTATTACAACCTCAAGATATCTTGAAGATTTCTTTTGTCATTCTTTATATCTAAGGTATTGTTCATATGCATGATTTGTAAGAGTATCACCTAAGCTCTCTCCTGAAATTTCAGAATGCAAATCTGATGCACAATATATGCCTTGACATGATTCAGGTTGGAGATGAAGATGGCAAAGCCAAGACAGCCCCTTTGAAGATGAAGGTGCAGTTCATGCTCCAAGTTCCTCAAGATGATATAAAGACGTCGGTTTTGATGTTCCGTGTGAAGAAGAGATGGGACATTTAGTATTGTACACTGCATGTAAGTCGTCGGTTTTGATGTTCTGTGTGAAGAAGAGATGGGACATTTAGTATTGTACACTGCATGTGCTTGTATGGCAAATCTAATACTATTTCGTGGATTTATTTATTTTATTTTATTTTATTTTGGTAATGCCTTTTTTCTTCAAGAAGTTTTAGGTAGACTTGTACACAAAGCATATTTTTTTGATTCGATTCGATATTTGCAATGCGATTTGAATTCAAATTCGAGTACGAAAAATATTATACGTTTGAAAGTTGCACGAATTCGAATCCGATTTTATAGATATTCGATTCGCTAATGATAATCATATAAATATTCTAAATTATATATAGTATAAAATTAGTTATATTTTTTTATATTCTTAATTTTTTTGTGGCGAAAAAGTAAAAACATCATAAATTCACAATTTTTGTGAACAAGTTGAACTCTAAGCCCTAATCCATACGCTCGCCGCCTTCACTCGCCCGGTGTCTCATATCTTACATAAATGGAATTCTCAAAAATAATTGAACCAAGATCGGGAGAATAAAAAGTTATAAACAATATTATTGAACCCTTTAACAACTGGCACTTATTGAGTATAATTTTGAATGTGTTATGCAGGAGTTGAATCCCGACATGAATGAATATGGAAGAGATAATATAGAAGGTGAAGGTGGGGATGCTCAGCTAGTTCAATATCAAGTAGTAATAGATGTAGATGAAGGGGGTATTAAAAATCAAAAGGATGGCGAAAATTAGGGATGTAAGAAAATATAATTTGACATTAATCGAAAATATTATTTAATTATTATATTTGTGTTTCTTGAAATAGGTATCATGGAATTAATGGTTGAAGAGAAAAGGAAGATCTTCTAATCTTAACTTTCCATATTGTAGTTATTCTCCTATTGTATATTTGAATTTATTTATCTTCCTTTAGCTTGTAGGTAAAGGAAATATATTAGATTCATTAGGAGATTTTATATATATTCACTTTCATTATTTTGATATTCTCTTACTATATGTTATGGTATTTATTTACTTGTAGGAAAAGGAAGAGGAATGATGATAAAAGGAAGATATTATTGTGAGATTTGAGAGCTGAAATCTTGTGGAAGAGAGCTGGAAAATCGAGCAAGAAAAGGAAAGAAAATCGGCAAGAAGATATTTCCGAATGTTCGCATGGAAATAAGGAAAAAAGTTCGCAGGATTGAAGAGAGAGAGACGCGTTGAAATCTGGAAAATTTGGGAAGATATTCGAGCATCATTATCTACAAGGCATGGAGATTGAGTTTCCAAAAGCTGAACAGAAGATCAAGTAAATTTGGAAACTCCAGATTTCTGATGAACCTGCATACCTTATATAGTTGTATATATATTAGTTAATGAGCTCTAGTTTAGTACGAGCGATTCCATTATTCAATCAGAGAGTTTAGAGTTATATTCATTAAGAGTTCTTGAGTTTTTTATTATATTTTATAGAGTGATCGGATTCCAGTGTGAAGGTTCATCGCTGGTAATTCGAGCAGTCAGTTTCTATATTCTGTTTTACTTGGTGCTTGGGATGAGCATCTTCATACTTCTTGGAGGGATCCACATATGCAGTTCGTAAGTCCACGCCGTGGCCAGAAAAGTAGTTAGGTAGGTGGAGTACAAAGTAGGTTAGCTTAGAGGGAGTCTATGCGTGTAAATCCTATTTGTACTTGTTGGCCAAACACTTGCTTAATGAAAGAGTTCAGAGGGAGAGTGGGACGCTCTCCTGAAAGTTCGTTTTTAATTATTCGCTTCCGCAATTTTGCATGAACGTTCATTGTTTTTAGTATCAACACGAATTTAGTACCCCCAAAATTTTCAAGGGCAAAGAAGTAATTGAAAAGAAGAAGAGAAAGAAAAATTCAGTAGCTAATTTGGACTTCATTCCACTTACTACAGATGTTGGAATTTCAAAGTGGCAATGTGTACATTGCAACACACTTCTTTCTGTGATAAAATCGGTACCACAAACCATCTTTTGAATCATCGAGGCAGGCATTTTCAAAAGAAACTTCACAGTGAAAAACAAAAGACCTTACAATTCCAGCCTGCAAATTCATAATTTGAGATTTATCCCTTATCAGATGGTAGTATGATCATTCGAAGCAAAGAGAAGCCGCTGCTCATTGGATTCTAATGCTTGAGCAGCCATTTAACGTTATGCAAAACTATGGGTTCTCTTTAATGTTCAAATTCAACCTTCTTCAATTTGAGAAGATTTCTCGTCCCACGGCTAGAAATGATGTCATTAAAATTTATGATATAGAAAAGTAGGACTTACAATTGATGCTAAAAAACGTCAACAATATCTCATTGACCACAGATATTTGAAAATCAAAGGTGCAAAAAGTTTCATACATGTGTCACTGGACACATTATTGATTCACAGTGGCAGCTTCAAAAGCAAGTCTTTAGCTTCCTACCTCTTCCTCGTCCACACAAAGGTATAATCTTATTTATTCTTTATCTACACATTTGATGCATTTTATTCTTTTTTGAAAAGATATTTATTATCAATCATATGATTATTTAGGTGTTGATATCTTTGATGGGCTTATGAAATGCACAAAAGATTGGGGAGAAGAGAACAAAGTTTTCACTATATCAACGGACAATGCTTCTAACAATGATGTTGCACTTTGCATAGCCAAAGAAACATTTTCTAAGTATTGAAAGTTGCCGTTGGATGGTAAGTTATTCCATGTGCGATGTGTTGCACATATCTTGAATCTTATCGTTCAAGATGGTATGAACATTATTAAAGCCATCAAAAATAGTGCGCGGTTTATTAATCAATCGAAATCGAGGTTGTTGAAGTTTTCTAAAATTGTGCATTATTTGGGAATTCCAGTGAAAAGGCTAATCATAGAGTGCCCTACTCGTTAAATTCTACATATGAAATGTTAGTTGAAGCTATTAAAGTTAAAGATGCATTTCCTATTTTTGCATTAAGAGAGCCAGTATACGATTGTTATCGATGATTAGAAGAAATGGCAGACATCGTGGAAATTTTAGGAGTGTTTTATGAAGCAACTCATGTTACATCTGGACTAATTATCCGATTTCTAATGTTTTTCTTGCTGTAATCTGAAGGGTTAAACATGTCTTGGACGAAAAGAGAATCATCTTAATGATTTCATCCAAATAATGATGAAAACGATGAAAGAAAAATTTGATAAATATTAAGGTCATTGTAATCTTTTGATCGCTATTGGAGCGATATATGATCTGAGATCTAAAATGAGGCTGGGTGAATTTGCTTCTTGCAATATATATAATGAGGTTGAGGCTTGTGCAAACATGATCAAGGTTCGTGATGCATTATATGATTTGTTTCGGAAAGGTGTTATGCCGACTAGGGATTCATATCTTGCCAGTTCAAACTCAATGCCTACTGAAAAATTGGTTCCTTCTAATTTGTCCATATGCGGTGATTATTTGGATACTGTGGAAGAGTATGTACGTATGAAGTACGACTTGGACAAGTACTTGGAGGAAGGTGTATAGATGTCAAGATAGGGATGGGGCCACTACATTTGATGCTTTGACTTGGTGGAAATCTCAAGATTTGAAATATATTGTTTTATCCAAGTTGGCCCGGGATGTTTTGGCTATTTCTATTAGCACAGTGGCAGTGCGGGCACCCGAGCTTTAGAACCTTATTAGCACAGTGACATCAGAGGCCACTTCTTTGCACGAATATAATTCTACCCTAGAGGACTTAGTAACAAGAAGAGGTATTAAATCTAAAAGGTTTATTTTTTATATATCCGAACTAGACCCATGGGTATGAGCACTAGAAGGAGCTGATCTGACCACAGTAAGAAAGTAGGCGAATTTTGGTGCCATTGCCTCAATATTTACGGTGGCACCAAGATTTACTGAAATATCTGACCAAAATGGGTTACAGAGACTATGTATGACGCATGGACCTAAAATCCATATTTGAAAAGATGATACACTCTAGAGCTCAAGTTCATCTCCATAGCACCAGAGCCAACAAGTGATTATAGGAAGCATGTTGTTTTCATTTTATTAAATTACAATTGCCAAATAAAATGAACCTGAACTAGATCAAGGAATCTGAGGCAATTCCATTATATACCTCCATGACAGAGGATGAAATTGCGGTGAGCAAGGCATATATAGTATGAGTATGTCTTACTGAAATAGATAAAGTAAAATATTCGTTGAAAATATTTCAAAATTTTCCGAATGTCATTTTTTTACTTAATTCATTGACCGCAATCTCTTCAAAGTTTGCTAAATGTTTGTTCGAGAGCAAAAGAAAATTCTTACGGAAAAGCAAGTTAGCATCAACATAAAATTAAGCTATAAAGCGTGTAATATGTTATATTGTTTAAAATGGCACGGGCATATTTGTCAACATAGTCAAAGACAGGAGAAACCAATGTTCGAGACACTTTTTCTGATTAAAAGAGAATGCCCGGAGCAAAAGGATAACTCAAAGAAGAATAATGGAATTGAAATGAATTCCCAAACGAGCGTAAAAGGAAAGCAAGTCGACCCACCACGATAATGGTTGGACAAGATAAAAAGAGAAAGGTTCTATTTTGGGAAGAAGCTGACGAAAATCCAAGTAATAAAGAAAGGCACTTATGAGACAACATGGATCACACCATGTGAAGGGTAGAAAAAGGTGTTGGGAAAAATACGCTGAATTTTCCATGAAGTCGGATCTATAAAAGTGAAATAAAAAATAAAAATTGGACACACCAAATTGATAACGGAGTTCGGCCAATAATGCCTACGTCTCCGGACTACTGCATATATTTTATTATGAGAAAAAAAAATACACTCGTGTTTACAAAACACTCTCAAAACTCACTCACAACTCACAACTCAAAAATACACACAAAGGCTAAATTATTTTTAGCTCACTCTCTATTTTTTTCTTCTTGAATATTGTTTTATTTTTGGTGTGATTTATGTTCATGAGAATCCCTCTATTTATAGAGGGGAGTTGCACCATTTTTTCCACAAAGGTGTACTCCATTTTTCAACAAAGAAAACACCACGAGGGCTGCT